CCTTTCCACTACCTGCATGAACCTGTAAGCTACCCTGGCCTTAGACAGACAATACTCCAGCAATGAGTATCACACACTTCAAACTATTTCCCTCTCCTACCTGGGCTCATGGCTTGAACAGCCCTTCTCTCCAGTAGACCCCTCCTTAAGCAAAACCAAGACTCCCTATTAGAAGCAAAGCAACTTTAGAGTGAAATTTTGCTGCAAAATAATGGACTAGAACACTGCTATCCAAAATACTCAGCTGCTGGGCTCGTGTGCCAGCAGAGAGGGTTCCATGTGCCCATCACAGCATGCATGCCACAGGTTCACCATCCCAGAACTAGAAGCTTTTCCTCTTGGCCTCTTGCAGCTGTCTGTCTGGACTAGAAGCATATCTCTTTGTTTCTAAAAGGGAAACTAAATTTTTAACAGACACAAGTTAAACTGAAGAACTTTGGATGGTTAGAAGACCCCGCCACACACACACACACACACAACACACACACACACACACACACACACACACTTCTCCAATTTACAGGTCCTGGTGCTATAACTTCTCTTCCCTATATTTTCTAAAATGTATCTGATTGTCCCTTTTTAGCATTAGAAAAAAAAGAAAGAGAAAAAAAGGAGATGACGAAGCAATAATCTGGTTTAAAAGAGAACATCAGGCCATAAATAAACATCTTTTTCCTATATGGGTTTTTAAATATTGGGAAGATCAAGGCTGAACATCAAGATGGCGTGTGCCTGGAGGTTACTCCAAAGACTAGTGCAAAACTTGAAGCCAGCCCTCACATCCACTCACTGTCAGCAAGCCTGGCCTTCCAAAAGTCCTCTGTTAGGGGTGAGGGGGAGAGAACATGCACTTCTCCAGGATCTGTCACCCCGGACTTGAACACAAACCCTAAGAAACCCCTAGCGCCCATGTCCTGGAAGGTCAGAAAGAGAAGCTGAACAGATTGGATAGTCTTGGTTTTCACCTGTCTTTCCACTGATGAAACAGCAGCCTTGTCAAGGCTAAAGAAAGGGCCTATACCTTACCCAGCACCCATCGGTGAACTTCACTTTTGTCCAGCCCTCTTTAGTCAGGATGAGCCTGGGACAGGAAATCAATAGCTCCAACTTAGAGTGAGAAGTCGGGGAGGGGGCAGGGAAGATGCTGGGACATGGAATTAAAGAAAGAAAGAGCTGCAATTCTATCAAAGCAGCTAGAAGTCAAGGCCCAAGGCAAGGGGAGGAGCCAGAAGCCAGAGGAGATCCCCTCCTCTTTTCACCTAGGGTCCAGCCATGCCTCCAGGGAGGACAAGGGCAGGAGAGGTGCTGTGAACAGGACAGGCAAGCTTGGAGCAGGATCCAACAGGGTGGTGACCTTGAGCTTTGGCTCTTGACACCAAGTGGATCCTGAGGCTAAGGATTGGCTGGAGGCTAAGGATTGGCAGACTGGCTAAGAAGCCAATCCATGCAGTCCTTCGGGGGCCAGCACATCTGCCCTGTGCCCCCACGCCACCCTGCCTCTTCCCTCTACCATGGGCACACTCCTAAAGCATAGAAATGCTGTCCCTCTGAAGGTCACCCCCAGCTGGAGGTGCTGGTGGGAGGCTGGCCTCTGCAGGGGAATGTAAAGACATGAGTATAGTTAAACCTTAGAAGGCAGCTCTCAAAGGGCCCTTCCAGCGCTCTGTAGAGAAACCCCTAGTTTACCCGCAGCCAAGTGTGAGTTCATATAACTAATGCATTCTGTAAACACTGGCTGGGCAAGGTAAAGCAAAGGCAATTCATTGACAAGGAGGGAGAGGGCATCTGAACTCTGAGAAGTAATATGAAATTAATTTCCAGACAAGAGCACATGCTGGAGAGTAAAAGCCCGTAAGTCCCTGCTCACCAAGATTTCATTCTGATACCTTTGAATGCGCACCCAACTCTCATGGTGTTAATGTTAATGTTACCAGTGCGCAAGGGCTCCAAGGGGACCTGCCAAGCCAGCACTGCGCAGGCCACTCTAGCTCTACAGAGATCCTTTTTCTTTGGAGTAAATAAAAAGAAGAAGAAGAAGAAAATACAAAAAAATACAACACACAGTTAACCACCTGTCAGGCCTGAGGATACAATGAGGCCCCTGGAAAAAGAGCTTTTCATGCATGCGTAATATATTTGTTCAGCCATTCACTTAATGAAGCTGATAAATGTGATGCAAGACAATAGTCAAGTTAATCTATTTAGTAAAATGTTTGGAGACTTTCAGGCTACGTTAAAGAGGGGACATTTTCATTTAAATGTGCTCATCTCCTCTCTTAGGCTGCACAAGGGGGTTCAGGCAATCTATGTGAATATAATTTCTTATAAATGTGTCTTTAATGGGTTTAATTCACCCTTGCCAGCTGTTTTGGGGGCTATTTTGTAAGAGCAAAACAAACCTTTCGGGCTTGGAAAGCTAGTTAAAATTAGTCTCGGTCAGCGAGGCCAAGCTATATTTCCTGCAAACCATCTGCTTGATTGGCACAATAGAAGGATTTTCAAGGAAAAAAAGAGGGGAGTGAGTGTGAAAGGGATGGGGGGTGAAGGGGGAAACACCAGAAAGGGCCGGGGCAGCCGGTAGCTCCTTGTGGCCTATTCTATAGGTGAACTCCTTAGAGTTGTCTTAATAGAGAGGCTGGGCAGTAGGGAAGCTCTTTAAGCCAGGGCGCCCTCCTCCTCCTCCTCCTCCTCCTTCTCCTCTTCCTCCTCCTCCTCTTCCTCCTCCACCTCTTTCTCCTCCTCCTCCTCTTCCTAACCCTCCTCCTCCTCCTCAGAGTCAGTGTCTCCAACCCTCCTCCTCCTCCTTCCCTTCCCCCCCCTCCTCCTCTCCTCCTCCTCTTCCTCCTCCTCCTCCTTCCCTCTCCTCCCCCCCCTCCTCCTTCTTGTCACCTCGGTCTCTGCGCCTCCACCCTGGTTCCGGGGAGCTGTGCCCAGCGCTTTGCCCTGCGCACTGAGCCAACCTTGGACTCTGAAGGTCGCACTAGAGGCGAGCGCCAAAGCCAGGGGCTCTACAGCTTGCCGAGGGCGGCCTTAGACTCTCAGTCACCTCGAGACCCCTCCCTTGCCATCTGACCCGGGGGCCAGGAGTTCTTGTCATTCTCTTTGCCTCTTGCTCTACCCTTTGGGTAGCCCGCGCGTCCGGGGCGCTGGTGGGTTGGATCCCCGCTGTAGCTGTAGCAATGAGCCCGGGAGAAGGAACCCTCAGGACAGGTTCCGAGCCCTTCCTACCGCCCCAAGCGAACTCCAGAGACATTTCTGCAAAGCCAGTCTGTATCTGTCACCCGGAGACGTGGCCAGCCCAGCGCCGCAAGGGTGCACAGGGACTTGGCCACCTTCAGCGGCCCGCAGGCCGCCTCGGCTCCAGACCTGGGCCTGCAGTTCTCTTCCCGCTCCCTCATCCTGGTCCCCAGTGAGAGATAGCAAGCCCAGCCCTCCAGCGGTTCCTCCGAAAGACGCTGGGAGAGAGTGGCGTTTCCACTGCAGGCAGGACGCAGGGCGCCCGCGGGCTCGGGTCCAGCCGCCTCAGTCACAGGCGCGGCCGCGGCCACTGGCCAAGCAGCCCCCGGGGCTAGCGCGGAGTCTGAAAAGAAGGCATTCAAGGAGACCACTAAAGTAAGAGCCTTTCCTCCTTTCCGTTTCTTGCTTCCTTAGGGTTTATTTTTGCCTTTTCAGGGGCGCCCAGTCCTCGCCTCCCCCTTCCCCACTCTCAGTTTTCCTCTTCGGAACCCGAGGAATTCTTTGGAAGGCAGTGGAGAAGGACCCGGGATCCTGTCCGTCTTCCAAGACCTGTCAGGCTTTTAAAAGCAGAAAATTAGCAGCAGTTAGGCCATGGTGAGGCAGAAAGGCTTTAGTGGTGGTGGTGAGGGTCTGACAGAGGAGGGTATAATAACTGTATAAACTGCTCCCGGGAAATGCCCAGCTGGGGAGAAGGTTCCTGCCCCACACAACCTCCAAGATCTTGCTGCTGATGTGGGCCCAACCGGCTGGGGGAAGGTCATGCAAGCACCTTCGGCAGCTGGCGTCTCCGGGAACTCCCCGGGAAGCCAGGTCCTCCAGACTGGGTTGGGGGACTAGAAGGCAGGGTGTGGGGCCGCACTGGTCGGGAGACACCGAAGCTCTAAGGGAGCAGAGTAAGGAAGAGAGCCCACCTGTTGGTGGTGGAGCTTACCAGGGTTTAAACTTTCTCACCTATTTTATTGCAAAACTTTGTGGAGAAGAGAAACTTTTAAAGTCCTCCCTCTTCCGTTTCCAGGGGCCTCCAATTAACTCTAGCAGTGCAGTCCCCCTAGTCAAAAGGCCACTTACTTCAACGTTCCTTTCCTAATTGGCTTTCCCATCCTGCCTGCCGGCCTGGCCAACACTCCCCCAGAAGCAGACTTGGGTTTGGAAACTCCAGACTTGAGTCATCTCCCAGCATCAATTCGCCTCGAGAGCCTGGTCCTAAATAACTTTTTAATTTGAATCAAGGGAGAGCTTTAGTGCGCTCAGTTTCTGGTTTAATGTGATATAAATCACAGATGCACTTTTATTGAATGGTTAAAGCAGCGACATGGAGATCATCAACACAAAACACCCTGAACAAAACCATCGAGAGAAATAAAGCTGGTTAATAAGATTTTTGAGAAAGCTTTGTGTTAAAAAGCAAAAAGGAAAACCAGCTGAAGGTGACAGTTAGTTCATGGTTAATAGGATCAGGGCGGCCTGGCGAGGCTGCACACTTCTCTTGGGGGAGGTTCAGCCACACGAAAGAAATGAATGGGACATTTAATACATCTGTTATCTCTGGGAGCAGAGAAACAGGATGGAGCCCTGGTGGCACCTCAGTCCCCACCCAGAGAACAGCCAGGAATTGTCTCTGGGAGCATTTCCACTTTAGGGGTGTCAGAGGCACCCACATTCCTGGGAACCTCGACCTTTCCTCTGATTTTCCTTTACTCTCCTGTTGCTGTTTAAAACAACAACAACAACTGCAAAACCTTGGCCACATCATGCACCCAGCAATAGTTGAGGTCTGGTGTTTCAACTATAACTGCCTAGAGCTTCTTGAGGCAGCAAAAAGGCTGGGTGGGGTGCTGCTACCAACAGAGTCCCCTTGCTTGCAGTAGCCCTTGAGAGGGGTGCAGGTGGCATCCTGCACCCCAGCCAGGGGCAGCATCTGCCTTTGCTCCCCCCTCAAGGGAGCTCTCTGAACCCCCAAAGGGACTACTAGAGAAACTGAGCTGTACACCTTTGGCCAAGTTGCCAATAGTTTGCAAGGCATCCACCAACTCTGGAACTCGACCGGCCTTCTCAACTGAGATAACCCAAACCCAAACCCAAACCCAGAGCACCCCAGCCCTGATCCAAGATCAATTTCCGACCCTCTCCAGACCCTGAGAGTAGAACTAGCTTTGATTTAGTATGGCATGGCACCTGCCTTGGCTTCAGTTGGAGTGACAGCAGGGCTAGACATGGAGCATGTCTAGTATATTTTCATGTTCAAGGACCTGAAATTTTCCACCCACACCCCGCCCTGCGCACAGGGGAGAGCTGTTTTACTGATAGCCTGGAGATGTATTTCTATGAATATTTATTGATTGATTTTCCAGACTCAGCGGGAGGAGGGCTACAAATAAATTTAGTGCGTTCTTTAAATAATTCCTTTTCTATGAGGCAAGATGTCATCTGAAACTTCTAAATAGGCATTTAATTAGCTCGGGTGTTGCTTCGGAACAAAAACCCCCGGGCAAGAGCTTTGGGGGAGCACTGTATTGCAAAGAGGCGGTCGATATGCAGAATTGACGCGCGAGGGCCTTTGTTGGCGGCCCATTGTGCGGGCCTTGCTTATGAAGACTAATCCAATCATAAATTGCACCTCTGCGCCAATCAGAGGGCTCGGAGCCTCCAGCGAATGAAGCTCGAGTGGAGAACTTTGTTGAACTTTATTGTCAGAGCTGTCACTTTTCAAAGCGCTGCAGCGGGCGGGCCGCTATAAAACCATCACCTCGCCGGAGGACCTCGGAGGACTGGGGACGAACGCACTTCTTAGAGGGATCGTTACTCCTAGACGTCCGCTGAGCCCGAGAATCCGGCACCGCGGAGCGGGAGGGGCGGGAAGAGAGGTGGCCACCTCGGCCACTGGTAGAAGGGTTCCTTCGCCCGCCCCGCTCCTACCATGATGTTCCCCGGGCTTCTCGCGCCCCCCGCCGGGTATCCCAGCCTCCTGCGGCCCACGCCCACCTTGACGCTGCCCCAGTCCCTTCAGTCGGCGTTTTCCGGCCACTCTAGCTTCCTGGTGGAGGATCTGATCCGCATCAGCCGGCCCCCAGCCTACCTGCCCCGCAGCGTGCCCGCCGCCAGCCTGTCACCCCCCAGGCAGGGGGCCCCCGCGGCCGCCGCCGACTCCGGGACCTCCGACCTGGGCTCTCCGGGCACCCCGGGCACGGGCAGCCGGCGCGGCGGCTCTCCGCAGACCTCCCTCTCCCCTGCTAGCGAGCCCACGTTTCTGAAGTTTGGGGTGAACGCCATCCTCTCCTCGACGCCCAGAACAGGTAAGTGAAGGGGACCGCAGACGGCCAGTGGAGGTGCTCTCTGCGCTTAGTTCCCTTCGCGGAGCGAGTTCCCGCGCGCGCGCACCCATGCACAGGTGCGCCCGGGGAGCCCGAACCCCCACGTCGGGCAGCGGGAGCGCGAGGTGCAGGCGGCTGCGGAGGAAGAGCCTTGGGGGCGTCCCACCCTGGGCGGAGCCCCGCGGAAGCGCCCGCGTTTCCGCGCTCCCTGCTCTCGCGGTTTTCCCACTCGCAGTGAGGTCTTCACTGCACAGGCTGGAGCCGCGCCTCGCCGGTTTCTCTCCTGTGCCGCAGTGCTGTCTGTCTCCTAAGTGGCCAGGACGGAGATTAGAGGAGAGGGAGGCGGCGCAGGCCCCCCGGGGGAGGAGCACTCCTGCGGACGAGGCGTCTGGCCGGTTCGGCTGCCTTCGGAAAGCAAAGAGCCGACCACGGAGCTCTTCGAACCGAGCGCGTAACCCAATTCTCCGTCTCCCCACCTCCCCCAGAAACACCTCCCGCCTTACTCCAGAGCCTCCCTCCCAAGACGTTCGCCTTTCCCTACTTCGAGGGCTCCTTCCAACCTTTCATCAGATCCTCGTATTTCCCAGGTAGGTCCGGCCCGGCCCCCGCGCCAGCCCGCCCCGTCCGCCCCCGGCCCCGAGCCGTATTTCTCCGGCCAGCCCTCGGGGTTACGCTCCGGTTCAGAGGTTGCGAGGCGTACAACATTCGCGAATCCGTCGCGCCAATTTGATGCCCTATTTAGCACGAGCAGTGACTGCTTGACACTTTGCACCAATTCCCTGCTCTACAAATTAGCCAGAATTGTCATGGTCCCAATTTGAGGCGGTTCCTTTCCCGGCGAGGAAGCTGTTGGCATCCCTTCACGCCGCCGTTTTCCCACAGCGTCAGTGCGCTCGGCCACGATTCCCCACAAAGGTTTCAGCACCATGACCAATTGGTCAGCTCCTCCGGGCAGCCACACACAGACCGCCTCGCCCTGCCACGCCGCCGGAGACACCTACCAGCCGGGGCTAATTTCCCTTTAAGACTCATTCAGGGCTCGGGCTTTTCACAAGACCACATGGGGTGCCCTCTTGTGTGGGATGCCAGGGGTCGCCCGGGGTGGGGGAAGGGGGCCTAGAGCCTTCTCTAACCCCCACTTTCTATTTCCCAACCCGGGTCTTCTCATACTACCCCCCACCACCTACGTCTCGCTGGATCTTTTAAAAGAACTTTAGGCTTGCAAAACAAGAAGCAAGCAGTGGAGAGAATTGCGTCGAGGGTGCAGGAGAAAGGAGAAAGACCTTAAACAGTCTGCGCGAGGGTTTCCTCCTGGCATATCACTGGCAGAAACTAGGCAGCTGGTGCAGACGCCCAGGGAGAAGGGAGACAGCCCCGAGAAAGAGTGGAGAGGCCCGGCCTGGCCGGCGGGGGAGGGCCCTCTCCGAGATCCGCAAAAGAAACGGCAGAGTTGATTTTTTAAAGTGGGAGCCAGAACTCACCAACCCCCTCTCAGGGCCCGTGCGCCAGCCGATTGTGGAATTTGCTCCTTTTCTTTCTCATCCCAATGCAGTCACAAAAACAACCCGAGCTTCATCAATAGCTTTTCATGTCCCTTTAATGAGAACGATCGGACCCAGAGGAGCCCCTGCCATCAGTATGCTCCCAATGGTCTTGGCCCGCAGTTGTGTTTAGTTTGAAAGTGTAAATCTCTTTTGTTCCAGTAATATATGGCTTTTGCTGCTTGTCCACAGCCTTTTTCTGTTAGTTCATTACTACACAATTACCATTCACGCTTCATTAGAGGCTCTGTTTCTTTTTGTTTTTCTTTTTCTCTCCCTTAAAGCGAAACTCTCCCCCTTTTTACCATTCCAATACCCATTGGGTAGCCGGCAATGTGCTAATTAGCTGCCACTTTTCATGTAGGGGCCGAATTCTTTACGTCTCGGAGGGAAGGGAAGATTAATATTAAAAAGATGAATACCGATTAGATTTCTTAAAAACAAGAATCCAAAGCGGATTTTCCTCCTTCTCCCTCCCTTTCTCGAATCCGCAAAGTATCCCCTTTTTTGCATCTGAAGAATACAAAAGCCACCAAGGTGATATGAGGTTGGGGTAGGGTCGTGGGGTCGAAGGAGTGGTCCCGGCCGTTTTATTTTTACAGTTGATTTTCTTTTTCTGTTGCCATTTGAACGGGTCCACACAGGTTAGTTTCCCTGGGATCCCTGAATGGAGAGACGCAACAGGCGGTTGTTGGGGGCTGGTTTCACGGTTTTCCCTAATCCGGGTTTGCACGCTTGAAAGGCAAAGTTATTTGGGCGGAAAGCGCCTTTCACAGTTGCGGGTTGCAGGTTTGTGGCCCGTTCTCCATGGGGAGGGGGAGAAAGGAGGGCTTTAAAGAGATGAAGGGGTCCGAGGGCGAGCGGAGAGGGGGCGCGAAAGCCACCCCCCCGGGGGTGGGGAGTGCAGCTCAGGGCGGGGGTAGGGCGGGGGTGGGGCGGGGGTGGGGCGGGGCCTCCCAGCACCTCCTCCTTGCCGCCCGCAGCGTCCTCCAGCGTCGTGCCCATCCCGGGTACCTTCTCCTGGCCGCTGGCGGCCCGCGGAAAGCCGCGCCGCGGGATGCTGCGCCGCGCTGTGTTCTCCGACATGCAGCGCAAGGCGCTGGAAAAAATGTTCCAGAAGCAGAAGTACATCAGCAAACCCGACCGCAAGAAGCTGGCGGCCAAGCTGGGCCTGAAGGACTCGCAGGTGAGGGCAGGTGCTCCGCAGCCCCAGGTCCCCGTCGGGATCGCCGAAATCGTGTGGGCCCATTGCGCAGAGGGGGAAACTAAGGCCAAGCGCAGGCTGCGTGCTCACCTGGGCTGGTCCGAGCATAGGAACAAGGGGGTGGCAAGTCGAGTGGAAAGGGTGCAGCGCGGCAGAAATCGCTTCTTTGGGCGCAGACAGAGCGAGGGGAGGCGCCCTCCCTGCACTCCGGCTTCCCCACCCCTTGCTCCGTGCCCTGCACTCACGGACTCTCCCCCCCCCCCCCCCGGCGTCCCAGGTAAAAATCTGGTTCCAGAACCGACGTATGAAGTGGCGAAACTCCAAGGAGCGCGAACTCCTGTCCAGCGGGGGCTGCCGCGAGCAGACGCTGCCCACCAAACTCAATCCGCATCCCGACCTCAGCGACGTGGGCCAGAAGGGCCCCGCGGACGACGAGGAGGACGAGGGGCGCCCCGGCAGCCCCCGGCCGCGCCTGGCCTTCCGCGTGCCCCCAGACCCCCGGCCCCCGCGGGAGCCCCGGCTGGCAGGACCGCTGCCCCCCTCGCCCGCTCGCTCGGGCAGCCCTGGCAAACCCTCGGACTGCTCCGACTCGGAGGAGGAGGAAGAGGGCGAAGAGGAGGAGGAAGAGGAAGAGATCACCGTGTCCTAGAAGCCCCTCCCGCGCCCGGGGCTAAAGTCCCGTGAGGTGGAAGACTCGAACCCAGGGCCCAGGCCGAGCCGCTGCCGTCGCAGCACCGGCCTTCGGATCCTCCTCGCCCCACGCACTCCTGCAGCGCTCTCCCCGGCGACGTGGGTCAAACGCTGCGAGGGCGTGGGCTGCACTGTGCGCCCAACCTGACGTCCCTGCAGGGCAGGAAACCGTACAGAGGAGGAAACCGAATCAGGAGTCGTGCACCAAGCACAACTAACCCCAAGCGCCCAGATTTCCCAGTCCTTTTTTCTCCCTGGTCAGGCAGCCGGGGTCCTGCCCCTAGTGGTTCCCTTGGAGAGCGTCAGAGCAGCAAAAGGAATGAGCCGGCGCCTGTGCCTTTTGGGCTGAGGAAAATGCAAACGCGGAGTCTTTCTGTCCTCAGGCTCTCTGGGTGCAGCCAGTGAGTTCTCTAATTCAGAGGAGACTTGTCTGTTGATTCTTTTTTTTAATCGGTACCGGGTCGAACTCACAACTGCGCTCCTGCAAGGCAGGCGCTTATGTTGTTGAGGTAAATCCCCAGCTGGGAAAAAAAAAAAAAAAAAAAATCAACAGAGGAAGTCTGGTCTCTGTTTCTGTTATTTGGGGCGGTTTTTTGAGACAGAGTCTCACTATATTCCGGGCTGATCTTGAACTCACAGTGTAGCCCGGGCTGGGCTCAAACTCATGGTGATCCTCCTGCCTCAGCCTCCTGAGTGCTGCTGCGTGGCCACACCTGGCTGCTGTGTTGCAAACCTTTTTCTTTTTAATTTCTACATGCGTATTCTATGCACCAAGCACTCTGCCTCGTGTCCTTCCATTCTTCTGGGGGAGGGGAGGTATTCCAGAGCTGCAAAGCTAGCAGTGGGTGCGAGGTGGACAAGAGACTCTCGAGTCTCTCCGATTTGTTTTAAACTGAACTCTGAACCTTGCACAGCCTTAGGAGCTGTACACTATTTGTATATATGTTTGTATGGGTATTTTATACCAAGGTCATTGTGAATGAATAGAAAGCATTGGCTGGCTTTCTCTCCTCTCTCTTTTGCAATGGTCCTTAAACTTTAAAAAAAAAAAAGTAGCCGTTTAATAGCATAACTTATGAAAAACTATTTTGTATTTTTGCCATGTACAGATTTTTATATATGTGTATATGTATCAAAGGAACACATGCCAAATAAAACGTAGAGAAAACCAGTGGTCGGGTCATTAATTCACAGAAAGATTAACCAAGCTACTATTGTCCAAGCGCTGGGTTTTAGGAAAGGTAAACTGAGGCTCAAGAGAGGGAAGCTTGTCCAAAGCTACCCCGCTGGACAGTAGCACACTGGAATAGACATCCCTGCCGTCAGCCCAGCACCTTTTCTGCTTTCCTGTCACCCATGCAGTGGTACCAAAACGTGCAGTTTGTAAATATTCTCCCTTGTACTAAGATTAAGCATGGCTAAAAAGCTTAACGCACATCAGTGCAGTGGTCAGAGTGTGCAGCGGCTTTCCCTTGTCCTTTTGAAGGACATTTCCTGGTCCCCAGGGAGATTTGACATTGGTGAGTTGTGCTTCATCTCTTGTGTATGATCTTTTTTGTTGTTATTTTGTTTTTGTCTTTTTGAGACAGTCTTTCTGTGCAGCTCAGGCTGGCCTTGAGCTCACTTTGTAGCCCAGGCCGATGTCAAACTTACAACCATCCTCCTGCCTCTGCCTCCTGAGTGCTGGGATTATAGGTGTACACCACCATGGCCCGCTTTTACAACCTGGGTTTTTTGTTTTGTTTTGGTTTGGTTTTGGTTTTTTTTTTTTTTTTTTTTTTTTGGTACTGAGATCAAATTCATGACCTCACACATGCCAGGCAGGCGCTTGTGCAGCTGAGCTAAATCTCCAGCCCCTGACTGAGTTTTATCACAGTGTCCTCTACAGTCATGAAAAGGGGGTCCAGATACAAACTCTGAGCTGCAAGTGTGGGCCTTCACACTCCTCCTCCTCTACGCTTTTCTGTTCTCTGCAGCCAGGCTTCCCTCCTCCTGGTCCTGCAGCAGGCTGCTCTCACCAGTGCCTTCTCATCAGCATTTACGGTGGCCAACTCAGTCCTTCCCTCAGGGCAGCCAACACAAGCTGTTCCCTCTCCCACTTATCTCTGTTTACAGCCAGCTGTCCCACCTCAGCCCTGACTGCACCCTTGGTGTCTCCTCCTCCCACCATGTCTCCCAATCCCCTCCCTCATGTCCCCAGCCTGCCTCTCAGAGATGGCTCTCCTCAGCTCCAGACCCCATGATCAGCAGTCTTTGGACACCTGCTCCTGAGCGTCCCTAAAACACACTACATTCCAGAAAGCCAGGAGTAAATGCCCCATCTTCTGGCCATAAAAACCCATTCAAACAAAGCGAAAACGACACTTTTCCCCAAATGCACGGAAAGGCTGGGGATTTAGCTCAGCAGCATAAGAGTCTGCCTTGCATGCGGGCAGGCGTGAGTTTGATCCCCGGTACCAATAAAAAGGAAAATGACAAAACAAAACAAAACAACAACAACAACAAAAAACAAAAACAAAAAAACAAATGCACGGAAAGTCTTTCTCCCTCTTGCTCAAAAGCTAGAAACCAAGTGCCCCCCACCAGCCCTCCTCATCCTTGGACCAATCAGCCACAATCTGTTCCTGTGCATGGGTTCCAGTAGATTTTCTGTGCTTCTTGCTAGTTAAAAGCTACTTTTGGGGGCTGGGATTTAGCTCAGTGGCATAAGCATCTGCCTTGCAAGCAGGAGATTGTGAGTTCGATCCCCGGTACCAATAAAAAAAAAAAAGTTATTTTTGTTGTTGTTGTTGTTGTTTTTTTTTTTTGAGAAGCATATCATGTACTACATTGAGTTATTTATTTATGTATTTAATTTTTTTTTGATACTGGGGATCAAAGTCACAACCTTGTGCTTACCAGGCAGGTACTTAAGCCACTGAGCTAAATCTCCAGCCTTACATTAGTATCTTACACTATTTCTTTTAATCCATACCACACAGAAGCAGACTTAGTCAAAGATCTTGCTGGTTTTTACCAGCTCCAAAACTCACCCCTTTGCCCAACAACTTCAAGGAAAATTCTGGAGAGAAATTTGCTAAAGCCTTGGAGGAGGGGGTAGTTTTCATGGGACTTTTACGTTTGTTTTGTTTTGTACCAGGATTTGAACTCTGGGTCTTACCCTTGCCAGGCAGGCAGGCAGGCACTGCACCTCTGCACCACTACATCCTCAGCCCTGGGGGCAGTTTTTATGACAGAACAAGACAATCATATATTGTATTGTTTCAGGAAACGCAGAAAAGAAACAGAGGGAAGGGAGTTCCTGAGATACATCTGCGGACAAGGGTGCTGTAGATATTTTTACTGAAAGACAACATGTTGAAAGAAATAGGCTCTCAATGAACCATCTCCAAGGTGTGTTTTCCTTCCTTAAGTAGGAAAAAAAAAATAACAATATTTGCTACTCACTGCATTATAGTGTGTTGGGCAAATGCTAAATGCAGTTTTTTTTTTTTTTTTTTTTTGTCTTTTTCTTTTTTATTGGTACCAGGGATCGAACTCACGACTGCCTGCTTGCAGGGCAGGTGCTTATGCCGCTGAGCTAAATCCCCAGCCCCTAAATGCAGTTTTAATGTCTTTTTGCATCTTACCTTGATGATAAACCTTCATGGAGATATCAATATCTGCATGAGAAAAAATAGGAAACTGAGACTGTGGCTTCCCTGGTTACCCCAAGGAGAGATCGGAGCACATCTTTTTTCTCCTAATAGCAGAGGGACTGCAAGGCCCAAATCTCCACTCTTCTCCCCACTTGTCTTCACCAACTTCAGGCTCTTCCAGGGACACTTTTCATTTACTCTCCTGTGTAAAAAGCTGGAGTGAAAAGACAATGTTAGCTGAATTTAGAAATTATCTTCCTAATGTGACCTGCATAGGTCTGCAACTTTACAGCACGCAAGAAGAAAATCTTTTCTCCATTTGAAGATTACAGCTGTTATGGATTGAGCCTGGATGTCCCCCCAAGCCTCATGCAGGTATCCAGGTGGGATTCTAGAGTCTGTGACTGATTTGGGGTCCAGTGCTGGGACTATGGATGCCCTGGGGTGGGTCACCTGCATGCAGTGTAAGGAAAGGAAAGAGGGTTTCTCTCTCTCTCTCTCCTGCCCTTTGCTCTTGCTGTTTTTGCTGTCTTCCCCTGCCATGAGCTGTCACCCCTTTGCTACTCCACCCTGCCTTGGGGCCAGCTGATTATGGACTGAAACCTCCACAAACTGTGAGCTCAATAAACCTTTCCTTCCTTTATTTTGGGCATTGGGTATTTTGTCTCAGCAACAAGAGGCAAGTAACCAAATAATGATTTTACTTTAAAGAAGAAAAAAAAAAAAGACTTGCTGTTGATGTAAAAAATGAGCCCCGTTAAAGCAATGTGGTGTCTCATCCAGATCTCGGAACAGACAAGGGACATCAGGTGAAAATGGAGGTGATCCCAAGCAAAAACCGGCTGCAGGTATCTGACAGTTTACATCTGCAGGTAACATTGTACACCCGCATCCCTTCTTCAGCCACGGTAGGTGTCCTGCCCTAATGGGAGGTGTTAGCACGAAGGGAGTCAGCAGCAAGCTAAAACAGGAGAAACCCAAATGTCTTTGCAGCTTTTCTGTAAATCTAACATCACCCCAAGATGAAAAGTCTATTATGAGGCATCTGAATGTGTTTATTTAGATGCTGCTAGCGGGCTGGAGTATAGCTCAGAGGCAAGAGTGCCTGCCTGGCAAGTGCTAGGTCCTGAGTTTGATTCCTGACACCAAAAAATAAAATAAAATAGACACTGCTAGGGAGAAAATATGGCCATTCTGTTTAGCTTCCGAGGCAAGGGTACTACTAAAAGAAGGTGCTTATTTAAAAGGAGAAGCGAAGTTTCAATTTGTTACACACACACACACACACACACACACACACACAGGGTAATGCCTCCTGGAATTTCTTTTGGCATAAATGTCTTGTTTTAGGGCCGTGCTTGGACTGCAGTTGGAAGAGGATTATTTGCTCACCCTGCCATCCCTGCATGAGATACTACACCACCCTTTACATTTCACTAAACTTTTCAGCAAACATCACACGCCAAAGATCACTGACAGACTAAAAAGATCAGATGGAGGAGCAAGAGAGCTGAGTTCAGATTGTTCTGGGCAAAAAGTTTCCTTTCAACCTGCAGTTGCCATGAAACTCCTCAATCTCCAGTCAAAAAGGCTCATTTTACCGAGTGTGATGACACAGAGGGTTTGGGGTTTGTGTTCCAAGAAAGCTTTCCTTTTAAAGCTGTTGTTACAAGAGTAGATCGCGATTAGTGATAAACTCTGGGGAGCCTGGTTTGCAAGTTCTTGTATATATTTTTCAGCACCTCACATTCTTTCAGCTTTGTAATTTTACCTTACACTACCACTGCTTGGTTTCCATCAGCTCATGAGAGAAGCAGGACAGGTCTCCGTGTCTTTGTGTTCCAAACAGGCACAGAAGAGTTGATTGCTTTCCTTAGCACCACACAGCCCGCCAGCAGTAACGACAGTGCTTGAGGACAAGGATGGAGCCAGGGAGTAGAATCAGCCAGTTGAAAGAGAAAAGCAAAAATGGGAGGTGAGGGAGATGGCGGAAGAAGGAGTAGTTTGGTAAAAAGCCAGCTTTGGAACTATGCAGGAAACTAGTCATGAAAAAGAACAGGTGACTGGAAAGACCTAAAAGGTCCCATAGCCCTTGTTAGATAAACTGAGTGGGAGGGAAAATCCCAAACGACCACGGTTCACTGAGCTCTGTAAGGTTCGTTCCTGGGGAAAGCACAGGTTGGAGTGGTGGCTCCAATTCACACACAGATCAGAGCATCTTGGCCTTCCCACTGCTCCTGCTGTGGGTGCTCAGTGGTTGCTGTGGCTCCAGCCATCATATCATGGAAAGGAAGAAAAAGCAAAGAGTCTACCCTTCCCTTTGAGGTCATGCACACCAATCCTGCTTCTCCTCCGCACAGTCACAGGACTGTGCAGAGCTGCGAGGCAGGGCATACAAGCTAACTTCCTGGGGTTGTATCATGGGGGAGGAAGGGGATAGTGGTATGGGGTGGGATGTCCTGTTCCATGCCCCGCATATCCAGCTGCACACAGCGCGTCCTGGCGGCAGAACA